GATGCATAATACTCCATTGTATGTTTGTACCAGCATTTTTTTAGCCATTTGTCCATTTCTGGACACTAGATTTGTCCATTCATAGAATAATTATTTTCTATTATAAATAATGTTGGAATAATTATGGGCATGCTTATGTTTGTATTATAGAACTTATTTCTTTGAGGTATATGTCTAGTAGTAGAATCACTGATTCAAATGGTGTTTCTATTCCAACTTTCTGAGGAGTGTCAAACTGCTTTTAATAATAGTTTAAACATTTTACATTTCCATCAACAGTATATAAGCGTTAATCTCTCCACATGCTTGCTAGCATTTGCTATTTGCAGTCTTATTGAAATTTATTATTATTGCTGGCTGAGATGATATCTTACTGTTGTTTTGATTTGCATCTTCATGTGTTTTTTGGCTATTTGCCTTCTTTGGATAAATGTTTAAGCATGTCCTTTGATCATTTTGTAATTGAGCTGTTTGTCTTTTTCTTGTTGAGGTAGTAGAGTTTCCATTGTTGTTGTTATGTGCTGTCACCTGTGACTCAAAGTAACCCAATATACAGCTCTGAAGCCTGCCCTGTCCTGAGCCATTCTCACCAAATCCGACAAACCTACCCCCATTGCCCTAATTACTGTATCAATCTATCTCATCTGGGGTCTTTCTCCTGTGCTGTCTCTCCACCCTTCCGAGCATGATGTCCTTCTCCAAGCATTAGTCTTCCTGGCCATGTGCCATGTGTCCATGCTCTATGTGAGATGGAGTTTCAAAATCCTGGCCTATAAGTTCTATAAATTTTCCAGGAAACTCCCATTAATTTTCTAGACATACTACAATTTTTTTCTTGTTTTTGAAGTTTTCTATAAATTCTACAAATGGAATCCTTTTTGAGATGTGTCATGATGCACATCTTTTATGATTTTAAACCATGCCATATTCTCCTGTTCTGTTTAAACAACTGTCTCTGTACAGGTTCCACATAGAGCACAACTACATATTCTGGAACTCCTATTCTTTACAATATTATCCATAATTTGTTATGATGTACACAGTTGAATGTCTTTCCCTAGTCAGTAAAACACAGGTAAGCGTCTTTCCGGCTCTGGTTGTGCAATAGTTGAGCATTCAGCTACTGATAGACGGGTCTATGGTTCAAACCCACCAGCCACCCAAGAGGAGAAAGATGTGGTTGTTTGCCTCTTTGAGAAAAGACTGAAGTTATGTCCTAAGTCAGATCTGACTCGTAACTGACTTTCTGATACGTTTTCAGAGGCTGTGAATTGCATGAGAGCCCTGTAAACTCTAAAGGGCATTTATACTCTATTGGTTGTTATGAGTTGGAATCAACTTGATGGTAGCATACTATGCTGTTGTTTTTATGTGTCATCCAGTCAACTTCAACTCATAGCCCTGCTCTATCCTGAGCCAATTTCACTGTCTCTGACACGTCTACCTCCATTATCCCAGTCACTGTGTCAGTTTATCTCATCCAGGGTCTTTCTTGCTGTCCCTCCACCCTTTCATGCAGGATGTCCTTCTCCAAGGACTAGTCCCTTCTTGCAACATGCCCAAAGTATGTCATTGTAGAGGCTTTACATATCTCCTATGGATTTTATGTGGCAGCTGCCATGTGAGGAGAGAGTAAAATGATACCTCTGGGGACAGACACCTCTATGTGTCCTTAACCAAAGCTCACATTCCTCAGAAGACCACAGTTACTCAGTTCTCAAATAGGATCCAAGATCTAATTTAAGCCAGAGGACTGAGATATGAAGAAATTAGTGGATAACATTCTTATGAACAAAATAAATAAATAAATGACAAAATTAAAGTGGTGAATAAAATACCAAAATAAACAGTAGAAGAAAGAGAAAAGACTTCTACCTGAAGAAAAGAAAAATATCCCTATCCTTTAGTTATCTGCTGGAAATAAAGAGACAGTTAGCAAGAGCTAGTTAGCAATTTCCTCCTCCTTAGTTTCATCTACTTTTTTCCTTGTGAATATTTTGTTCAAATATAAAAATCCTTATCCTGTAACCCATCAGAACATAAAAATTTTTTCTTTCATGTCTGAAGAAAAGTAAACTGTTTCCATAGCAATTAATGGTTCAGCGAAGGTAAGAACTAAGTGAAATAAAAAAAAAAACACCCCCCCCCAAAAAACACTTAAGAGAATGAAAGAAGGAAATAAACTCAGAAGAATAAAAAGACAGGCCACAGACCAGGAGAAAATACTATTAAAACACTTATCTGATAAAAAGATTTGTATCTAAAACAAAGAACTTTTAAATCTCAACAATATGGGGGAAAAAATCCCAGTTTAAAAAAATGAGAAAAGATCTCAGCAGAGCTCTTACTAATAAGATATACAGATGACAAACAAAAATATGAAAGGGTGCTCAACATGGGGGACCTTAAAGGAAAACAACAGAGAAATAAATACCTCTGCCCACCTATTAGAATGGGTAAAATATGAAACACTGCCAGCCCCAAATACTAACAAATCATGTGAAGCAACAAGAGCACAGCAACATTCCGTTTTGGTGTGGATGCAAAATGGTCAAGCTGTTTTAGAAGGCAGCTGGCAGTTTCTTTCAAACTGAACCACAGCCTTAGTAAACGATTCAGCTTTCATGTGTCTTGGTATTTAACTAGTTGAGCTGAAAATATCTGTCCACACAAAAACCTGTACACAAATGTTTATAGTAATTTTACCCACTTTTAAAAAAAAAATTGGAAGCAACCTAGATGCCCTTTAAGAAAGTGAGTGAATAAACAGATTGTAATACATCTATTCAATAGAATTTCAATCAATGATCACATGAAAGGAGTTATTAAGCCACAAAAAAGGTAGGGAGGAACTTTAAATGGATATTGCCAAGTAAATAAGACAGTCTGAAAAAACTGCATATTATGAGATTCTAACTCCAGCATTCTGGGAAAGGCAAAAATACAGACAGTAAAAAAGATCAGTAGTTGTCAGGGATTTGGGCGCTGAAGGGAAGAATATATAGGTGGAACAAGGGACCTTGAGAGCAGTATATTATTCTGCATGATACTGTAGTGATTGTGACTCATGGTGACCCTCATTGGGTCTTTGAGGCTATACATTTTTACAGAAAACTGCTCATTCTTTCTCCTGTGGAAGGACCGGTGGATTTTAACCACCCCACCTTTTGGTTAACCTACTATGTAATTTACTACACCACTAGGCTCCTTTTGTCAAAACCATAGAACTGTACAAAGAGTGAACCCTAGACTTTAATTAATTATGTATCGTTATTATACATTCATTAGTTGTCACAAACGTACCACACTAACGCAAGATGTTAATAATAGAGGAAATTGTGATGGGGAAGAGAACATATGGGAGCACTCTGTACTTTCTCCTTTATTTTTTTGTAAAGCTAAAACTTCACTTAAAAACAACAACAACAATAACACCTCTTAATTCATTTTTTAAGAGAGAGAAAGAATACTTCCAAGGTTCAGAGGATCTAGATTAAGGTCCTGACCCTTTCATGGATTGATTGAGGGACCTTAGAGCTATTGTTGATCCTTTTAACCTGTGGTTTCTTTGCCTTATTCATCCAACAATTTTTTCCCCAAGGGAGTCTTGTGTACAAGAACTAATTTAAGCACATAGGTATAGGGCAGTGAATAAATGGAGAGGGCCCTGCTGTAATGGATTTTGTGATCTAGGAAGAGAGAGACAATAAATAATAAATTAAAAAATATAAAACATATAATGCAGCCTGGGAAGTAGGAGGTTCAGAGACAATAATATTTGAGTTGAGATCTATCTATACTAGGAATTTGCAAATCCAAGCCAAACAAAACCAAAAACCCAAGGAAAGATATTCCAGATAGAGGGACCTCTGAGTTGGGATCACATTTGAGGGTTTGATGATAATCACGGACAATGATACTAGATGTGGAATTGCTACTAGTTCCATGTATTCTAAGTAATTTAAAAAAGTCCCCAGACAGTTGCAAGAGGTGAAGGGGTGGAGCTCTACTAGGATCCTACTGTCCTAATACACATACACATACACTTCATACCACGTACACATACCCTGTGCTTCACCATAAGCATCTACTTTTAATCTGAGTTGCTGCATAAAGTTTTGTTCAAAGAGCAGGTTCTATGGCCAAAAAGAAACCAAAAATGGTTGAACACAAGAATCCTTTTCTGGTCCTAAACTTTTTGCATTTATGAAAATTGATCACACAGACTTTATGATCACTTTTACAGAAGGGCTGGTTTTTCTCCACTCAGTTGACAGAAACGTGGAACGCTGATTCCATTGACCAGATTCTCCTCTCACCACAGCATTCCTTTTTCTTCTCCTAGTGGGGAACTGGAGCCTCTGAGAGGAGTCTGATGCCTTCCAAGCCTGTCCCAGGTAGGGAAGGGCATGCATTTCTCTCTCTTCCCAACAGAGTGTATGAATTTCCTTTCCTTGGACTGCCCAAATGAGACGCTCTGTGTGCTGCACAGGAGAGCTTTGTGAAGACAGCTAAAGGAAATAAATCCAGTTTTTTGCAACCTGTAAAATGCAAAGTTGGCTAGCCGCCTCTCTTCTTAACTCAAACTCATATCTTTCCTTGTCTCCAGAGAACTACCAGTCGGTTCTCAAATAAGCCTCTAATGTCCTGGGGTTTGGGGAAAGGCACTGTGCAGAATGTGAAATAATTTTCTGGTAACATGGATCTAATTAGCTCTTTGACTGACAAGAGGAAGCAGAGGCCAAGAGGGATTTAAACAATCTGCTTCTTGCATATTTCAAAACAAGTGAAGAACCAGGCAGGGAAACAGAAAGAGACAACAGACAATGCCTGGGCAAGGAGAATGGACTAGGGAGCGTTTGGAGAAAGGCGGGTAAGTGAGAGGGGGATAGTGGTGAGGGAGAGAGAGAATATCAAGTGACCAAAGTATTAATCTATTTTTCTTCCAGCTTTGTCTCTGCTTCAAATTTCCCCTCCTCTCTCTACCAAAAAGAACTTACTTGAAGGTTGATGATTTCTCTTTCTGATTCCATTCTGCTGCCCTCAAGTCTCTTCACATGCACTGGTGTCGGTAACAGACTGCGTGGGTTACTCCAGGCTTTGCTGTCTGAGTCTCTGCTGCTTTCTTTGGGTGGGAGAGCTCACACAGCTGGCGGGACAGACCTGCTATTCATCCATCTGATGTGGGATGCCTGTCTTGGCCTCAGCCTCTGGGGGAAACGTACGCATGCATGGATGTGTGCACATATATGTGTGCTGGTGGTGAAAGGACACTGAAAGGTGGTCTTTGAAGTGGTAGTGACAGGATCCTTTTCTCTAGTGGCTCCCAATGCCCCTTCAGTCCCAGTGGAGCTATCTAAGGGCATCCAGCCTGCTTAGTTGTTGTTTGTTGTTGTTGTTTTTTTTTCCTGGCAAAACAACCCTGAATATTTATCAGAGAAATTATACATATATAAATAAACCTAGCCTGAGGATGCGGACTTACTTCATATTGGTGGACTGAATGGGATCACAAAGGTAGGGTGATCTCCAGCAAATTCTTGGGACTAAGGCCCAGTTTAGGGACTTCAGTTATTCTTTCTTTTATTTCTTCTATCGCTAAGAGTAAAAACAAAACAAGACAAATAATAATTTACTTGATAGGCCTCAAAGTTCATAAGTCATTTTAACATCCTGAATGAAAAAAAATTATGAACAGATTAGCTGATACCTTCAGTTTTCCACTTTATTAGTAAAATTGTACTTTAAAATCTGGCTTTTCCAAGTTGTTGCATTTTTCATATTTTCAAAAGAAAGCTACCAGGGGTGAGTCTTTTTTTTTTTTTTTTAATTTTCTTACTCTCATTTACCTTAGAGGCTTAAACTCTTCTGGCTTGTCCCTGAGGCTAGTTTTAGACACAAGCTTGTATTTGTGTGGGTGTGGGTGTGTCTATTGAGTACGCAGAGGGTTGCTGAGAGGGAATAATCCACTTTAGACTTAAAGAGGTGGGGTAGGAATGGGGAGGAGGAGTACAGTCACCAGGTTACTCCCATCATGCTCAAATGTGTCTTTGCAGGGGGTGGTAGTGAAAGAGGCAATTTCTTTTAAGTGATCTAAGTTCCTTTTAAGTGCTCATCCTTCTGGACAGTGTTTGAGGAAGAGTTAGACAATGGAATGAGTAGTAGCAACCCTATGTACAACAGCCCTGAAACCTGCTCTATCCTGTGCCGACTTTATTGTCTTGGACACACCCACCCTCATTACCCTAGTCACTGAATCAATCCATCTCATTGAGGGTATTCCTGTCTTGCGCTGTCTCTCCACTCTTCTAAGTATGATGTCCCTCTCCAAAGACTTATTCCTTCTTTCAACATGTCCAAAGTATGTCAGACAAAGCCTAAGAATCCTTGCCTCTAAAGAGCAGCCTGGTTTCACCCTCTCTAGGATGAGTCTATTGGTTCTCCTGGCAGTCCATGGTATATTCAATACTCTTCCAGCACCACAGCTCAAAGGCCATCAATTCTATTTCTATCATCCCCAGTCATTGTCCAGATTTCAGATGCATAGCAAGTCATTGCAAAGACCATGGCCTGGATCAGTATGTTGTTGTTATGTGCCTTCAAATTGCCTGTGACTCATAGCGACCCTATGTACAACAGCCTTAAACCCTGCTCTATCCTGTGTGTCAGTCTTACTGTCTGACACACTTACGCCCATTACCCTAGTCACTGAATCAATCCATTTCATTGAGGGGCTTCCTCTCCTGTGCTGTCCCTCTATCTTCCCAAGCATGACATCCATTTCCAAGGACTGGTCCCTCCTTGCAACATGTCTAAAATATGTCAGATGAAGCCTCAGAATCCTTATCTCTAAGGAGCAGCCTGATTTAACCTTCTCCAGGATGAACCTGTTTGTTCTTTTAGCAATCCGTGGTATAGTCAATACTCTTCTCCAACACCACAGCTCAAAAGCATCAATTCTCCTTCTTTTATCCCTAGTCATTGTCCAGCTCTTTGTCGCATAGCAAGTGATTGCAAAGACCTTGATCTAAGACTAAGGTGCACCTTAGTCTCCAGGCTGACGTTGTTGCTCTTCAGTACTTCGAAGAGCTCTCTAATAGCCAACTTTCCCATCGCAATATGTCTTTTAATTCTTGGCTGCTGGTGTCAAGAGTGTTGATTGTGGAGCCAAGCAAACTAAAGTTGTTAACAATCTCAATCTCTTCACCTTCTATCATGATGCTGCCAATTGGCCTAGTGGAGAGAATCTTTGTTTTCTTGATATTGAGCCTCAATCCGTATTGAAGGCTTTATTTCTTGACCCTCTGCAGCAAGAGCTTCAGGTCCTCCTTGGTTTCAGCAAGCAGGGTTGTGTCATGCCACATTTCTCCTCAAAGAGCCCAGCCTCCAAGATAATCTGTTCTGAATATAGATTGAAAAGGTGTGGAGATAGGACACATCCCTGGTGTACACCCTTCCCAATTATGAACCATGCAGTGTTTCCTTGCTCTGTTCTGACTACTGCCTCCTGGTCCAATTATAGGTTTCTCATTAGCACGATCAAGTGTTCTGGGATTCCCATTCTTCTCAGAGTTAGCCACAGCTTGTCCACAGTCAAACACCTTTGCATAATCAATGAAACACAGATAGATATTCCTCTGGTAATCCCTGCTTTCAGCCAAGATCAGTCTAACATTAGCTACAATATCCCAGTTGGCACTTCTGGCAGTTCTCTGTTGATGTGCTGTTCCAGTCATTTTTGGATGATCATCAGTAGAATCTTGCTTGCATGTGGTATTAATGATATTGTTCAATAATTTCCACACTCTGTTGGATCACCTTTCTGTGGAATGGCAACAAATACTGAGCCCTTCCAGTCTGTTGGCCAAGTGGTTGTCCTCCAGAATTCTTGGTACAATTTGGTAAGCACATCTAGGGTAGCATCTGTTAGTTGAAATATGTCAGTTGGTATACAATCAATTCCTGGGGCTTTATTTTTTGCCAATTCTTTCAAAGCAGCTTGAACTTTCTTCTTTACCACCACAGGTTCTTGCTCATATGTTGTTTCATGAAATTCTTCTGTGTCTGCCAATTCCTTTTGGTACATTGCCTCTGTATACTCTTTCCATCTTCTTCTTCTTCTTCTTCTTCTTCTTTTTTTTTTTTTGGCTGAGTACAGTGTACTTTCTTGATGGTACATAACAAGATGGGCTCTCTAAGCCCCTACACTTTCTTAGGGGGATTTGATGGAAACTTGTGCCAAAGGTGTGAGATTCTCAGTGTGTGGGAGGATCAAGTTGGGGCAAAGACTCCCCAGCAGCTGAGGGTCTCTCTCTCTTCTAGTGCTATTGCTGGGGCTGGTGGTCCAAGGGGCTCTTATTCTTTGGAGGTCATGTGAACCGTCAGGTCAATCACCCGGTTGCTATAGCCAAATTCATTGTCATACCAGGAAATGAGTTTGACAAAGTGGTTGTTCGGAGCAATGCCAGCCCCAGCATCAAAGGTGGAAGAGTGGGTGTCACTATTAAAGTCACAGGAGACAACCTGGTCTTCAGTGTATCACAGGATGCCCTTGAGGGACCCTTCTGATTCCTGCTTTACTACTTTCTTGATGTCATCATATTTGGCAGCTTTCTCCATATGGCAGGTCAGGTCCATAACTGACACATTGAGGGTGGGGACACAGAAAGCCATGCTGGTAAGTTTCCCATTCAGTTCAGGGATGATCTTGCCCACGGCCTTGGCAGCGCCAGTAGATGCAGGGATGATGTTCTGGCCATCAAGCCACAGCTTTCTAGAGGGGCATCCACAGTCTTCTGGGTGGCAGTGATGGCATGGACTGTTTTCATGAGTCCCTCTACAATGCCGAAGTTGTCATGGATGACCTTGGCCAGGGGAGCCAAGCAGTTACAGGTGCAGGAGGCATTGCTGACAATCTTGAGAGAGTTGTCATACTTTTCATGGTTCACTCCCATCACAAACATGGGGGCATCGGCAGAAGGAGCAGAGATGATTACCCATTTGGCACCACCCTTCAAGTGAGCCCCAGCCTTCGCCAAGGTTGTGAAGACACCAGTGGACTCCGCAACATACTCAGCACCAGCATCACCCACTTGATGTTAGCAGGATCTCGCTCCTGGAAGATAGTGATGGATTTCCCATTGATGACCAGCTTCCCATTCTCAGCCTTGACAGTGCCGTTGAACTTGCCATGGGTGGAATCACATTGGAACATATCGACCATGTAGTTGAGGTCAATGAAGGGATCATTGTTGGCGACAACATCCACTTTGCCAGAGTGAAAAGCAGCCCTGGTGACCAGGCACCCAAATGCGGCCAAATCCATTCACTCCGACCTTCACCATCGTGTCTCAGGGATGCGGCTGAGGCTGCACAAGAAGAGAGGCCAATCTGGATCGACGAGGAGTAAAGAGCCTCCATCTTCTTTTAATACTTCCTAGATCATTTAATATTCCCCAAAGCATCCTTAAATATTGCAACTCAATGTTTGAATTTGTTCTTCAGTTCCTTGAGCTTAAGAAATGCTGAGCAAGTTCAGCCCTTTTAATTCTCTGACTGCAGCTCTTTGCACATTTCATTATAATACTTTGTCTTCCTGTGCTGTCTTTTGAAATGTTCTGTTCAGCTACTTAATATCTTGATTTCTTTCCTCTGCTTTGGTTTCTTGGCACTCTAGTAAAATATTCAGAGTCTCTTATGACATCCATTTTGGTCTTTTCTTCCTCCTTTGTAATGACCTTTTATTCTTCCACAACTCACTCATCTGGCCTTCACTCCTTAGTGTTCAAGGCCTCGAACTGGATCAGTATATGTCAGTCTAATATAAAAAGCAAATGTTTTCAGGAATTTTTTTATAAAAAGGACTTTCTTTTTATTTTATTATTTTCTGTGTGTGTACCGTCAAATTGGATATGACTGGTACAGGAGGAGATGGCCCCTCCTTCTCAGGCAGAGCATCTGGTGGATTCAAACCGCATATCTCTGGGATTGCAGTGCAGCTTCTTACCACTAGGCCACCAGAGCTCCCCTTGGTTTCAGTAATTTAAGTGGTAAGCACTGAGTCCAGTTTAGTCTTTCAGATATCTGCCTCACCTCTACTCCAGAAGATGCTATCTAGATACATGGAGGAAGAATGTGGCTTATATCACTCTTGGTGACACAGGATGCATCCTGTGGCTTTTCCATCTCTGACATCTCCACTAATTTTCACTGCAGAACTTCTGGGTGGGGCTGGACTTTCCTCTTGATTTGCTGATGGCTGAGAAGAGACTGGTCCTGTTCTAGACTTCCCATTGGCATGGTGTCTTCAAACACCTGGTCAGACAGCCTGTGGTTGGTAATTCACAGTCCATTCTATTCTTTAGGGCCGAGTGATCTCCTTTGTTGACCCTTCCTAAATTTGGCTTTTACGGTGATGTAGATCATCCCAAGACCTGGCTATGACTCATGCATGCTCCCATCCCAGTGTTACCAGCTTAGTGGTCTACCCCTCTAACAGACCTTCAGTTAACACTCCTGTTCTCTGTTGGACACATGGGAACTGATGATCACCTATTGATGGTCACAGGAAAAAGGCAAACACAGCTCTTTTACTGGCACAGTTTGCTCTGAGGGGTTTCTCCAGGCTGGTTCAGGGGCAGCTTTGAGGTGATTGATTTCCAGATATCAAAATGATAATGAACTCAAAGAATACAACTGTCAACCAAGAATACTGTACCCAGCAAAATTATCCATCAAATATGAAGGACAGATCAAGATATTCCCAGAAAAGCAAAACCTAAG